AAAAAAAAATCATTTCCTTTAAGCAGGAGGGTGACACTAGATGTGTTTTCCCTCCCCTTGTCCCATCACTGAGTATTCTTTGCTGAAGTCTGAATTATTTTTCTTTCTAAAAGACCATTCTGTACTTCAAACATGGCTTTTTGTGAGCTGAATCAGGAATTTAGTAGATGGAAATCCTGTGCCTGCACTGTGTAGAAGTAATGCAGCCTCTAGTCCGCTTTCGCTGTGAATAACCTCACAGGTAAGGAAATGGGATTGGAAGTAGGAAAAGAACAAAAAACTGACTGCTCTGATCTTCATGGTAGTAACTCAGTTCTTCCACTGGTGGTATGGGTTTTTTTCCTGAGGAGCATCCAGTGGGTGTGCCTGGGCTGTATGTGGCTTGGGAGCAGGCGAAACCCAGCTCTTTTGCAGGGAGTACTTTATGAAGGGGGCTGGGAGTGGAAGGAAGTGATCTCGCAGCTGAGGAACAAATGGGTTCCTTGGACGGCATTGCTACTGCCTCCTTGTCAGCTCCTTCTAGAGGTCCTCTCCCCTGTTGCTTTTGTGTGTATATCCATAGGAACATACTAGAATGTGAATCTGTAAGGCTGGTTATCCCTTAAAGTCTAGCCCATCTCCACTCTTGCTTTTCCTAGAAGATTTATTTAAGGAGAAAACATGTTTAAATTGTACAATAGAAAGGAAAGCCTTCCTTCAGGAGTGAAAGAAGTGCCCAGGACCACAATGCTAAGGTAATGATTTACCAGGAAGAAAGCTTAGGCATAAGACATCATGGGCATGGCACCTACGTCAGTATCTGATAACATGCACGCTTGCTCTCTGGTAAACACAGCACAGTGAATGCAGTTCTGTGATTGCTGCAGAGTAGGCTTTTAGCCCTTCATATTTTTTCTTGAAGGAAAAAAGTGATTTTCAGGATGACTGTCTCTATTCACTTACATTTTTTAAATGTATCTATTCAGAGCCTGTTATCCAAAGAACCTGAGTTTAGTGTAATGTCTGAGTGTGCCTAAGGCTTTGTCTCCATGCAGGTAACTGAGGCAGCTATAAAACTGGTGAGGTATGTTCGTTCCTGTGAGCTATTCACCTGAGCCACCATGACTTTTCTTGTATTTTATGACATTCTTCTGTGCTTTGTCTGTTCCCAATCCCTCTTCAAGAGCGTAACACTTTTCGTTGTAGCTTTGGCTGTCCTGGACTTCCCTTCGTCTGATCAGGCTTACTTTCTCTGCTCGCTTCTTAAGCATGGCTTCTGTCTCTCAGTGTATTTCAAGGTGTATTTCTTACAGCTGGAGGTCGTAATTTTTGATGGTACAGTTACCTAGATCTTTTTAGGTACTCAGCTTAGTTTTAGCATCTGAACATCATGTTCGTTTTGGCTTTTGTCCCTCAGGAGTAGAGTGGATCTATTTGTCCATCAGGAGCATCCATTAATACGAGGAAGGTGTCTGCCAGAAACAACTTACTTGGCCAAGAAGTCAAGTTTAGCAAGGACAGAGATGCCTCAGTGACTTGACTCAGCTTTACTGTCTATAACTTTGGTTTCTCTGGAAAACAGCAAAGATGTCACTTCCTCCTATTTAATTCATTATTCATTTGGTAAAGATACTGACATTCCACCCCCAAGCTGAGGATTTTCCTGTTGCGGTGGAATTTTTTATCATTCAATTATAATTAGATCTTTAAAAACATGCTAGACTTCTCCCTTCCTCCCCCAGCCCCCCACCAGTAATGATCTGTTTCTATAGCAAGTTTGAGTCTGCCCTTAATGGAAGACTCTTAAAATATTTAGTAATGTGTTCCCTCTGTCTGTTCCCCAAATAGCCTTTTTGTGGTGGTTTTTCTCCTAAAACAGTAGGAGCAAGTAAGTCCATAATGGTTACAAAATGGAAAATCAGCTGCCTTGAAGGAGTTTTTCTTGGAATTTAATCTCTGTGTACTTGTTTGATGTTACCTTGAGAAGCAAAGAGATGCAATGTTTCATTTGAAGGTTGATTAGTTTCTTAATTATGCATAGTATGCATTTCTTTTTGTGCGTTTGCATTTGAGGTTGCTTGCATACTTGGATGTTTAGGTGTACTGTATCATGTTATAGTGACTAAATTACAGCTTCTTGCAAGGACTCTTCATCTTTCTTGTGCAGACTAAAGAGATCAGAGGATTATAAACTTCAGTTACAGAAAACTAAAGGTGTGAGAACATGTGATTTAATCACTTACAAAAGACTTGCTGGCTTAATTAGGGTTTATTCAACCAGAGCTAAGCCACAGAAATGGCTTCTCATATGGAATTTGTCAGCTGCTGGGATCCACAGAACTGCTGACTGGAGCTGAGATTACCCTTTTAATAAATACTGTGTCTTTATTTGGTTCTTCTCAGTGCTATGGGACCTTGAGGATGGCAACCCTTCTCCATGTTTACTGATTTTGGGCTACCACTTACAAGTGTCCACAGTGTGTGTGTATGTAGGCAAACATTTGAAGAAAGATTAAAAGAGACCTGTAAATGCTCTTTGAGAGGTGTTTATATATATATATATATTCCTAACCCATTTCTTACCTTTTTCCCCAGTGCTTTGGAAAGAAATGTGGACCCTTTGGCTGAAAGGAACTGAGTGGGGGTAGCATATCCTACCCCTTTTATAGCCTGTGGGCGATGCACCTAGGGGCAAGAGCTTACTCCAGATCTTTCTTGGACACCTCAGAAGTGAAATTTTCTGATTTGAATAGTGCTTCCATATAGGTATAGGTACGTAGAGATAAGATATCTCAGAAGGCAATTTGAGTAATCCATTTCCCCTTACAGTATAGGGTTCAGTGTATATCAGCAACTGTCTGCAATTTTGGTGATGATCGCTTGACAGTCATTAGTAGTAGTGTACCCAGTGTTAATATTATTGCCTCCCCCTTACTTTGCAGCAGATTTTAAGGGTTCTCTGCCACCCACTCATGTACCAGATTTCACATGAACTACAGAGAAGAGGAAAAGTTTACTCAGCCTTTTGGCAATCATCCCACTTCTGGGCTTCCATTTGCCGGTGATCAGCACAACATGTATTGCAGAAGTATATGCAAATGAATGTTATGCAAACTATTATTTTCTAGGTGCTTGGAGTTATGTTAGGAGCAGGCACGCTTTCCCATGTGGTTGGACCTCAATGTATACTTTTCCTTTAGCAAAGATAATAAACTCTGATGGCGTGTATGTTTTTCTCTTTACATAAACTCATATGAGGTGAACATAATAGGAAGAGTAGGCTGGTGTAAACTACCAGCAGCGTCTTTGTAATTGCTGAGATTAGCAGCATGTGTCGGCTGTCCAAGGACTAAGCAGACCTCAACAATATTGCTCCCTTAGGGAGTAGTGTTCTTCCATCGGTTTCATCCTCAAAAAAGTCCCCCAGACTATCAATGTAGAAACTGTCCACATAATCTCTCTCACTCCATCTGTTCCTAGAGACCCACTGACTTGTGAGTCTTCTGAATGGTGATTTCCCCCCAGCTTGGGGGCTTAGCCTTAATTTCCACCTCCTGGGGTTTCTATACCTAGAGAACAGGTGTTATATGCACCTGTGTCAGCAGCGTTTTCAAGTCTTAGAGGTTTGAGAGTGTGTGAAATCTGACTGTCAGAGGACTTTATTTCAGGAAAAACTAAAACGAGAGCTCTTACTCCTAGGTAGTATCTCAAAGTTGAAATGAGAATTTTTAATGAAAAATGGAGTGTGGAGTAGCTGTACCTTTTTGTGTGTTTTGTGTTAAGAAACAAATGTATTCAATGTTTTTACAGGTAATAATTTGGCTTTTAGTGGGAGTTCTATTAGATTTTCTGTACTGGCAAATGTTCTAAGATTTGTGTAAATGTTATTGTCTAATAGCATTTAATTTATATTAGGCATCCATTTTTGATATGCTGCCTCACGATAAAAATAATGCACTGGCTTCTGTAGGTTTTGAGACTTCCTTTTACAAAACTCAGTTTCTCCCTCTGCTGAACAAGACAAGCTTTGAAGGCTTTGTTTGCTTTCCTTCCCCTTCTCCTTCCTCCTACACTTTGGGTGTGTGGGTTTTGATTTCTGTGGGTTTTTATTTCTTTCTGGCAGCCAGTCTCTGCACTAAGTGTCTGGAGTAGACTGCACTTAACTATTCAATGCTTTTTCAAAGTGTAGTGTTAAAATCAGGGAGCTGAGCAGGATGTTAAGCTGTTAATCCAACTTCCTGACAGATGAACTTGACAAATTGGTGCAGTAGTTAGAGGCACGTCTGCTCTACGCTCTCACTGAGGTTTCCACCTCCACAGTAGCAACAGCAGAAGGGTACGTGTGATTACCTTCACCAGAAGCTTATGCTGAGCAAATAGGTCTACAGGGAAGTGCCAGACTGTTCCCTGGCTGATGTTTGTTTCCTTCCCTCGTCTTCGCTGTGAGTGAGTGCAGCTCTGGCAGGGAAGCTGAACAGGTTGCTGGCCCTGACTCCCTAGCTGTCACACCAATAGTGATGGTGTGGGTGGGCAATTTATGATTTGCTTTTAGTGAGACCACTAATTTGAGTTTGATAAAATAAGCATTAAAAAAAAACCTCAATCTTTGACTTCTGAGTTCTTGTTTTAGATGTGCTAATTAGTCCGTGTCTTTATGTAATTAATAGTTCACATTCATCATACTTGTGGTGTTGGGGTAAAATAATTGCCATGGATAAGAGTGCTTCCTAACACTGTTGAAACAAATAGTTCCAATTTCCCCGAGGAGATGTAACATTCTTATTAGTATGTATTGGTGTCACATTACTGAAAAGCTGATCAGTTCTTCCAGGTGCGTACTGCATTTAAGAGCTGTGTAGCTGGGAATGTAAGATTTGACAGCTGCTGCTAAACCGAACAAGTAAAGTTGTGAAGGTAAACTTGTAGCCTATCAGCAGGAGATCAAAAGCTTTCTTCTTAAAGTACATTGTTGTTGCTTATTTCTTCAGCGGTTTCTTTACTTTTGTCTTTATACAATATAGGCAAACAATGCCAGTGATCCTTGGTCCAGCTGGAATGTTGGGAAGTCTGGGAACTGGGATAATGGAAATGCTGTTGATAGCTGGGCGACGAAACCTGAAAATGCAGCTGGCCAGAGAAACAGTGCTTCAAATAACTGGGAGGCAGCAGCAGCATTTGGTCATCCACAGGCATATCAAGGACCAGGTGTGCTAATAATGCTCTTATTTTTGTATAAATTAGAGTAGGTGGACAGTAGAGGTAAGAGTTGCTTAGTCTTCCATAACTATAGAACATGGCTTTTGTAAAAAACAAAACAAAAACATCTTCCTAGTAGCACATTGTCACATGTGTAAACTGGACACTAAAATAATAGTTTTTTAAAATAAAATTAAAATAAATCAGATCTACAGCAACAGGCACATCAAACTTGTATGGAACTCTGGCAAGCCAAAGTCTTGTGTATACACAATCTATTTTCAGGCATGTTGTTCAGCTTGCTTCACTGGGACTTAAACACCCTTGGATTTGTGCCCTCAGGCCTGTGAAGAAGTAGTTTCTTAAATCCTTAATTTTAGGAAGTGGCTAGCCTTTCAGAAGGCTTCTCTACCTTTTTGTAATAAAGGCCTAAATTAAGAGAATTCGTAACTGGTGAATGCTAACATGCAGGCTATGAATATGAAACACTACTGAATTAATCTTAACACACCAGCATCTCTTCTTTTTTTATTTTCTTTTTCCCCCCCTCTACCTCAATGGATTTCTAGTGCAATGTTTTGCACATTGTATTTGGTGGGGATGGTTGTGAATGAGGAGGAACCATAAAATAGAAGGCTGAACTAGCTCTTATATATTTACTTTGTTGATTATTTGTGTATGAGTGCTGAGGTAGCTGCTTCTGCTTTTAAAGAGAAAATATTTAATGTTCTCCTTTCCCTACCGCTTTCTCCCCTCTTGTACTTCAGCAGCTGCTGATGACGATGATTGGGATGATGACTGGGATGACCCAAAATCAACTTCACCGTCTTATCTTGGTTACAAGGAGACTGAGGCATCAGAGGCTGGAGGGATCCAGCGTGGAAATTCTCGTGCAGCTGCTATGAAGTTACCACTTAACAAGTAATGAAAAATGCAGGGCAAATGTGTATATATTGAAGAGAATTGGAATTAGTCAAGATGTCTAAAAGTGTGACCATGCAACCTTCTTGAAATATGCACTGTAAATATTACATTTTGAGGTGAAAGTGGAGATGGATTTGTAGCTCAGTCTTCTCCATGTGTGATCAGAGAACAGATCCAGGAAAGCGTGGAAGTACATGACAAAGCTGTATAATTTTTGGAGGTGTTATGCAGGCAAATGACACTTTTGCAAGGTCTGAAAGACCTCCTGTTCTTTAAAATTTAACTCTCTTTAACATTGTGTGTGCTTAGTGAAGATGAAAGGTGATGGATGTCTTATCCATACAGCGAGACTGATTAGATGTGCCACCCCAGAGTTTGTGAGCAATCTGAGTTGCTAGAAGTGGGGGAAAGTTCTGCTCTCCTGTGTCTGTGTATCACCCGGTTTGATTCTTGAGACACAGAAAGCTTGATGAATTTTTTTTTTTTTTTTAGATAGAAATCTTACAATAACATGAAGCTTTGTAAGGGTTATACTAGCATTATCTCATGTTCTAACTTAATGTTTGTGTATTCTAAAACTACTGTTACTCTGAGAAGCTACTGTGTGGTAATCTTGAAGTGGATGAAAGCAGAGTAGAAAAGAATTGTAGAATAACGGTCTCCTTGGGTAGGTAACTAAAATTAACACCTAGTCATGCAGAGAGACAGTTGATTTTGCTCATTAGTAGAGGTTTTGTCAAGGTTTGCCTTTGCATCATTGGGGCATCTACTTGTTTCAAACCCATTTAGTATAACCAGCATAAACATACTTTATTTAAGAGTGTTTCTTGTCTGTGAACTAAGTCCTGCTTTACTCTGCGTGTTTCTGCAAGCAGACAGTAGCTTGGTGGTACATGAAGGACTAAGTATCTTCCTACTGAGAAAGAGAACCACCATTTGCTATCTTTAAGACTTCTTAGAGACTTTAAGGCCATTATAGCGATGTTTGTGTGTTTTGTCCATCTAATTAATGGATCAATTAGTTAACATAACTCTTGTTTAGAAGCACTTGATAAATCTGCAGTTTGTCGTTCTTTCACATGATGGGATTCTCAGAGTCCGAAGCAGCAGGACGGTGTGCCTGAGTGCCTGGTGTGTGCATTTCCAGAGAGGGTGGACTGCAGGGGAGGGGCAGAGATTACTTTGGGTCCTCCTCTTGTGTTTGCTCTGATGGGCTGCAGAGCACAGATAGCTACTCTGCCATGGAAGAGGGGGCCTGTTATTACACAAATAAAAGCTGTAGGTCAGTAGCTAAAACATTCCTGTTTTTTCAAGGCAAATAGTTGGTTGTTTACGTAATCCACATCAATTCTTGTCTATACTTGAGAAATAGTAAGGGTTTTTTTCCTATGGTGGCAGGTAATTCTGCATATGTCAAAGGAACAAAAATACAGAATAAACTTATCACTTTGTTTTATTGTTAGATTTCCTGGATTTGCAAAACCTGGGATGGAACAGTACCTGTTGGCAAAGCAGCTAGCAAAACCCAAAGAGAAAATTCCTATAATTGTAAGCTGGGGCCATGTGTGTAGTTTTTGTGTGGGGGTGATGTGGCTTGTTTTGGGGATGGGGTGTGTGTGGTTCTTTTTGTGGGGTTTGGTTTTGTTTAGGTTTTTCTTTTTTAATCGTCCCCACCCTTCCTTTTTTCCCCAACTTAACTTTCAGCCTCAGGGTTGCTATATGTGTTTGAGTCAGAAGAAACTGATACTGAACATATAATTAGAAATAGAACTGTCATAATAAAACTGTGTCATGTTTAAGTATTTTAAAGTTGTGATAGACTACAGTTGTGTATCATTGAGGGATTTTTTTTCAGGGTCAAGTCTTAACTCCTCTTTTCTTCTAAGCATGCTGATTATTTTTTTCCCCCAGTACTTTTTTTTTCTCATGCTGGATCTGCATCACTTGTGATCACGAGAATAAGCCTTTTTGGACCTGGGAGGCAGAGCAAATGCATTACACTGTCTATTAGTTATCTACATAGTTGTCTAATACATAGGAGCTACACTTATAAAGATTTGCAATATTCAGTCATGATGGTCAAGTAATTTTCTGATCAAAATACCAAACTCTTCTACATACATGCTGTTCTAGGGAAATGTGGTTGAAGTAGCAATCCCTAGAATTCACAACTCCTTTGCTGTTTGAGAAAAACTGTAAAATATACAATAAGATAAACACAACTGTGGTCAATTATCTCTGGTTGCAAGAAACCCCTCTATTTCCTGACTATCAAGCTCTCGCTGAAATCAACGGAAACTTTCAAGAGAAAGTATTTGTCTTCTTGTTTGCAGCTGGTACGATGTGATGTATTTAAAGATAAGATTTGCAATTTCTTACAGATTGGTGATTATGGCCCAATGTGGGTTTATCCTACCTCTACATTTGATTGTGTGGTGGCAGATCCGAAAAAAGGTTCTAAAATGTATGGCCTCAAGAGCTACATTGAATATCAGCTGACCTGCACTGTAAGTGTGTCTGAAGCAGGACCTTTTCTTTCACAAATATGGGTAATTTGTTCATATAAATAATACAGTCTGTGTGACTTGATAACCGGCTTGTAAGAGTAAGTGGTAGTTGTCACACTTTCTTCCCCAAAGAGTTGCCTTGTTCTAGCATTTCAAGTTCTTCTGTAATTACAGATTCGAGGCTCTAAATCATAAATCTTATTTACATGTATTTACTATTCTGGTCGCACTTGTTTCATGTCACTATCTGTAGATACCTGTCAAAATTCAGAGTTGTGTTTCTTTTACAGAACACTAATCGATCTGTCAACCACAGATACAAGCACTTTGACTGGTTGTATGAGCGTCTCCTGGTTAAATTTGGATTAGCCATTCCAATCCCATCTCTTCCAGACAAGCAAGTAACAGGTAATTATTCTCAGTTGTGAACTCATGGGATGGGAAATAAGGAGGTCACTTTTTTCAAGTTTTTCAGTTATTTCTTACTGGGTTTTTTCCCATTATGTTTAAAGAAGGTGTCAAAAAAAACCCCCCAACCTTTCACCATTCAAAGCTTACAAGTTGTGATGATACATTGATAATAAAATATCAGCACTAAGAGCATCATTTCAGAACTCAAGTATACTTAGCTAGTCCAGTGATTTAAAAAAAAAGATATTAAAACCAACCAACCAAACACTAGTTACTACGGAAGAGTATTTATTATTGGAGACAAGAGATAACTACTTATGTTCCGTATTTGATGGTTGTCTGGAAAAACGGTTTTGTAGGGTTTTTTTTTTTTTTTTTGGGGGGGGGGGCGTGGCTAGGAGGATGGTGGTGTTTTTTCTTTTGCATTTGATTGTAAATGTGCTATGTTGTAGAAGCTCTGAAGCAAAGCTCTTGGAGGAAAGAAATCATCCCCTGACAGACTGGGGTTTTTTTGGTCACAAGTAAAATGTTGACACTGTCTCCCCCGTTACTGCATTTCACACTTGATTTAGAAATCATCTTTCATTTGTATACCATTCTGCTCTGGTTTGATGTCAGTTCAGCTTGACCAAACTCTGAAGCTTATAGAAGTCTTTTGTTCTGACCTCAAGAAAAGTGAGATTGGAGCCTTTAAATGCACATAAGTTCAGTCATTGCAATTGAATGTGGCAATGCCTGTGTGTTTTCACTAGTCTCTGGCTTCCTTTCTACAAGGGTGTGCTGGAGTGCATGTGAGGAAAAGAATGAACACCTGTATAGGAGGAAAATGCGTTACTTTTGCCTATTTCCAATTGTATGTTTTCTGTTAAGATTTTTATACAGCTTTTAAGACAACCAGACAAAGTCAACATGTTGCTTAAACATGTGCATTGGGACTAAAAGGAAACCAGAAGACCTGATGGGATCTCTAGATTTTATTGTAACTGTATTTTAAGAGTCGAGAGTTTGGCATCACATTTAAACCTTGCCTGTGGATTTCAGTCTTCCAGAGTCTGTGGGAGAGGATAACTTGTCTCATGAAAAAAAAAAAAACAAACCACACCACCACCAAACAAAAACACACAAGCAAAAAACCTCCATGCCTTTCTCTCTTTTTTGAAACGTTAGGGGGAAGTCTGAAAAAGTGGTGCTTATTTTTCATTGTGTTTAAGAGACTTCTTTCTGAAGACTGTCTAGAAAGGTATTTCTGTCCATTAGTCTTGGCAAAGCAAAACCTTGTAAATAGACTTTGCTCAGGATCATGATTTTGCTGGTGATTATGTGCCTAATGACCTAATGATGTAACTTCCACATGTTACTGTTCCTGTTGCCTTGCATTCTTTATGCT